TAGTAGTAGTAGTAGTAGTAGTAGTAGTAGTAGTAGTAGTAGTAGTACCACTACGGCGGACGATGAGTTCAACAATAGAATGTTATGTGCACGGAAAAGGGTTTCACGGGAGGGATACACTGGTACACACATATATCGCGTGTGGTACACGCGTACATGTGTCGTATTCGTCATTTTATCTAATAATATTTTCGCGCCCAGGATGACGTGTGTAATGCACGGTGTATCATCAGTGGCGTCATTTGAGGAGGAGGCAACTGCATGCATTTGCCGCGGCCCGGAGTTTAGCCATTCCAAAGTCGGTACACGATTAAAGTGTAAATACGTCTTTTACAGAACCATTGACATATTGCAACTCAGAAAAACGAGACGTGTACTGTACGGGCATTTGTGTACAAAGTACAAATCATTATATTTTTGGTTTCACGTTCCCCTCTCCCCACGTTAATCGGCACTTCGGTCAAATGACTCGCCGAGTCTGTAATAAGAGCATGCCGACTGTTCTACGTTATATAATTTTTATAGAAATAACTGAAATGTCACCATCGGGTGTGTATCACGATAATCCACGCGCGCACTCGTATTGTTCTGTTCAATACGTGTTCGTGATGAAGAAATGCGTGTAAAATTACTCTAGATCATATCGATTTCGTTCACAGAATATAATATTATATTTTAGTACTACGATTATAATATATGCGATAACGAAGATGTGCCTTGTATTAATGCATTGAAAAAATTATATACTTTCGAAAATTCTAACTCATTCGGACGTCTTGCGAACGGGTATTCCACGTATAGGATGTACGTACTACAAACGTGTTCCATCAAACATACTTGACTACATATATTCAGAATCGTGCTAACCAGGTATGCAAGGTGTTCAAAAACAAAGGCAGTAAAAAATGGAGAATGGCTTTATAAATCAAATCTCTGAAAAAACTATTATAATAATTTACTGTAAACATAATATAAAACATGTTTTAACCAATAACTAAAAATAATTTTAATAACATTTTTGAAATTTAATTAAACTCTGGACCGTGCTCTGATATGAAATTTTGAGGATAGAGGACAGCGAATTTGTATTACACAGGGAGCCAAATGGATCAACGCGGGTCTGCATATACCTCGTGAAGTGTTCTCAATAAAAACTAAATCGGAAATATATCATATAGTTTAAGAAGTGCAACGTATTACGTTCCAGTACCCACGTATAATATACACGAGCAAGAAGCGTTTTGTCGGGTCTGCAGTTTTCATGAGCACTTGAATTATTGCACACGATTTAATCACGCAATAATCTAATGTGAAAATGTAACCGAAGGCATAAATATAGCGAATCTCTCTGCGTACAAAATAAGGTTAGATGCGCATTATAATTATAGACATATACTTACTAAAATAATATGTTTTGCGTACAATTTATGTATTCAATATGTTGATTATACACCGAGTACACATAAAATTTGTGGTTCTACTAATGTAATGATATCGATATAATAAGACATGAACTTTCCGACTGTTGTCACACATGTGTGCTGTAGTCTCCGTACAATTACAGTGTGATGCGACATAAGCCATTTGTGATGACCAATTTAGAACTTCGATAAAGATAAAGGTTTTAATTTTTTCACGATATCGATGTCTCTCCGGTCGTCTAAGTGTTTGTTCCAGTTAGCACGTATAAACGCTCACATTACAGCTGTGACAACAGCAGTTTATCATTCACCACAATGATCGAAAGTAGTTGAAATAAACATCAAAGGTATTGTAGTTTTAGTTGCATCGTAGTACTACATATTCATATTTATTGCTGTCGTCCGATGAAGAGAGAAATATAACATCACAGCATTGTTTTATAGCCATATTAATTAACCCATGATCCTTCGAATTATCCATTACAAACTCAATCATAAAACGTTGGCAAATTAATAAAATTGAAAAAAATTATGTACAAAAACAAACCAAATTTGTGTACCTATCTTGTTATTGTTATAGTGGTGTGATTTTATTCTAGTTACTATTACCATTATCATTATTTTTACCATCTTTTTCAATTACTATTATCGTAAGACTATTCACCCTTTGTCGTCTTTATTTTATTATATATTTTTATTTATTTAATAACGTTAATTGTAATATAAATGAAGCCCAAAACTCATGTCATGTACATAATTAAATAAAACAAATATATATATTTATGAATAATATTATGCGGATTGATATAAATACCTACTGCAGAACATCTGCTGTGTTTCTAAACATCTTCAACAACATCATGTAAATGCATAAAATTTGATTTTTCATAATACAAAAGTTTTATATTAATATATAAATTAATAAATAAATAATCAAATGTTTAGTATGGAGTATTGTTATATTTGTAAAGTACGACCATTTTCGAATTAAAAATTCATCGTCAGGTAGGTACAAAGTCAATAAAATCGAAATGTTTTATATTAATTTTCACTCTTTCATAAACTTATTTTTTAGTCAAACTAATAGTTGTATTAAAATAATTCATATATATTTCAGATTTCGAATAATAAATAGTATAAATACATGTGTAATTGATAATTTTGATTAACTTTGTGATAATTAATCGTAACTTAATTTCGCTGAATATGCACTTATCAGTACATAGAATATAATATTATTATATACATATTGAATAATTATATTTTTGAAACATAACCATTATTAATATTCCATTTTTATACTAAAACACTAATATTTTTTGTAGCTTTAATATTTTCAATTACCCTAGCAACTATGCAAAATATATTGAAAAGAAATCTAAAGTATTTGTATTAAATAATTAAGAGTAACAAAATTCTCTTTTTTATTCTTTGATTTACACAGCGGGTTTTGAAATAAATGTGGAATAATTTAACACATTTTGTTAAACTTTTTAATAATATAGATGTACTTGCACGATTACTATTATCGATTCACAATAAAATAGGAATAAAACAATATTACTTTTGAATATATTTATAGGAGATCATTTTATGTTATTATCAAACTATATACTCGTACCATATATTATATTGTGTTTACAGTTTTATCAAACCCCTATTTTCATGTTCAGTTTTTAAATAATAATTCAACTAAGTCGTACGCAAAAATAAAATCAGAAAGATTCAAAATCAATCCAAAGGTTTTCTCTGGGTTCTGGATGATCTTATTTCGTATGATATATGATGCATAACGCATGTGTATCTCATTTAGAGCAGTCGCAGAAAGGTTAAATACGCTGTATACTCGTTTAGTATAGTGAAAGAAGTACATGGATGTTATATAGTTTATTTCCACACCTCAAACACATTATATTTCACTCATGGATAAAAAAGTGATATTATATAAATTGAAAAACGGTTTACTCAAAAATTGAGATCAATATATTTATAAAAATGTATTTACATATAAATGTATAGTATGCATTTTTACTAGAAGTTATACGTAATATTAACTTTTTTTTAGAAATGCAAATAATAATAATGTTTATTTATGTTATTTTATTCTCGTAAAAAGACAATAAGTATAATATCGTTAACATATGATTACCTACACTTCTATCGCTATAATGATTTATCAATAATTTTTTTTTTTTTTTATCAGTATTGCATGATTTGTATGGTGCACATTGTGCATTAATAGTGCACATTTCTAACGTTCCATGTCACCACTAGGTTAAAGAGATACTGTCCAAGGGGATGATTTTTAAGCGGTGATGGAGGTAGGGGTTGAGTTCACGTGTACATCGCGTTAATACTGTGTGGGACTATCCACTGAAATATCAGACAGCCTATTTATTTGCTATTATTGTAAACCGTAAAATGATTGATAAAGGATTTATATACATACCGTTATAGTTACGTTCAATCGTTGTTATGTAATGTAATGTATGCCACTAAATTTCTAATGATTCCTATTGAATGCAATGTTGTATATTTTTAAACACCATTGTCTCACATTATTCGAGGTATTCCAACGAAGTAGGTACAAGTTTATACAATAATGTAAGACATTGTGCACATGCATAATAAATGGATGTAGGTGTATGCATTATTGTTATATTACGTACATCATGTACACACAAACATATATGTATATGTTCACATACGTAATGGTTTTTTCTGTGGCACTCGTCTCTTCATATGTATCGTGTGATATAAATTATTATTCATTATATTATTTGTCTTTTGATGTATTATCGTATAATTATAATGGTTATAAGACAAACTAAATAATATACTGATAATATTATTTATATTCCATTACATTCACATGTTAAGTGTTCGTGTTTTAACGCATTTTCTAGGAATCTCATATAACGATGTATATTTAGATGGTTTCGTTATACTTTATAGATTAATATGTTTTCATTTTATAAGGAAAATTGAATTTTACATGTTTCGGTGTTCAATTTTCGTAAATGACTGAACGTGAAAAATTATGTTCCTCT